AACAATGAGAACACACGGACATAGGGAGAGGAACATCACACACTGGGGCCTGTCGGGAGCTGGAGGGCTAGGGGAGGGATAGCATTAGGAGAAATACTTAATGTAGGTGATGGGTTAATGGGTGCAGCAAACCACCACGGCACGTGTATACCTATGTAACAAACCTGCACGTTCTGCACATGTATCCCAGAACTTAAAGTATAATAATGATGATGATGATGATAATAATAATAAAAGCAGATCTGCAACATTAGGGTCAGGGCGATGCCTGGGGAAATGCAAACTCACTCTAGCCCTTAGGCTTGAAAGAAAAAACAACCACAAGCATAATTAAAGCTGTCAGTTTGCTGTCTATCTTTCCTCTAAATCCAGATAGGACCAATAATCTCCAGCCTGGACTTCAGTGAGTTTCAGTGTTTTAATTAAAAGAAGGAGTTACCAGGCAAGGTTGTGGAATGTCATTCACTGAAAGCCTTAAAATAGCATACATTTTCATCTGCCTGGGGCTAGAATGGGAACAACGGATGACCCCTCATAGCTGCCTCTAGGGCTGAGAGACCAAGGTTAAAGATGATCCTGGAGCAGCTCAGCAAACACGGAGTCATTAGTTTTCTGGCCTGGGCTCACCTCCCTCCGCACAGGGGTGCTGTGCGCTGCAGCAGAGGCGAACTGCTCCAGGGCCTGCTGCTGCTCCTCGCTGGGCGGCTCCGGCACGGGCGCCCCCGCGCGCCCTTGCGCCCCCGCCGCCTCCTGGGGCTCGGCCTCCTGGTCCGGCTTGGATTCCGAGTCTGATCCAGATTCGGTCGTCATGGTTGATTGTTCTGCAAGCAGAAAAAAAAGGGAAGATCAGGTCACTCCGTGCAGCTACCTTCCCTCTGCAAGAAAACTAGGATGCTCACTGTGCACGGCTCAAGAGAACCACAAGGAGAGAGGGAGATGCTACCAAACCCTATCCTATTCCACACACCCGACAGATGACTTGTCAACTTCACCACTGAGATGGGTGCCCACCAGGGGCTCAAAACTAACATTTATCTAGGAGGAAAAGTTGATTTGTAATGATCACAGGCTTTATTCCTATTAGATTTTTGCCACAACATTTAATGTGAAATGACATTAAAGAAATGTCATAATAATGAAGTATCTTATATTCAATTAAAAAAATTTGCTGTATCACCTGCATATATATTTCAATCGCTTGAATGATTTAATAATGGAAGCACACATTCTTTCTCATTTCCCTCCCCCTCCCTATCTCTACACAGGGGCCCTCCTAACCCCCCGAATCTACAGACACTTCAAGGAACAAATGCCTTTCCCATGTGCTTTCTCCTAATCCAGTTATCCCTCTTTGAGTTAGCAACCGAGCTACAACAGCAGCTTCTTCAGGGACTCAGGATCTGTTCCACTGGCCATAGCTGGAGGGGCACAGGCAGGATCACCTCTCCCTCCCCTCCAAGTTAACTCTCATCTTCTTCCTGGCTTCCCCCTATTTCCCTTGAGTGTTGAAGGGTAAGTTTATCTCATATCTCATAAGGAACTCAAACAACAGATCTTAATATATAATAATCTGCTGATACATCCTTTAAAAAGACCTTCTAAAATATGACCATCTTCCCAAAGATTGCAAGTCAAGATGTTTCAGGATTTCGTGCCTCGGTTTCCACACGTGCCAAATGAGGACACTGAACATGATAATACCTAAGTAACTTATTTCTTGCTATTACATTTTTCTCCTACTAATAAGATATGCCACTATGTTTTAAAAGCAGATTTTTGCTCTAAGTAGCAAGAGAGCTGCTATTATGCCAAATAGATACCATGTCATTTTAAGCAATTTCTTATCTTAAGTATATGGAATAAGTATCTCAAGTACAAATATTTCATTATTGTCATATAATTTCCTTTCCTAATTCTAATTTTATAGTAAAAATATAAGCAAAGGACTGGTGTAGTGCTTTAAGCAAATTATATAATTGGTATAATATAGAATTGTGCAAAAATAAAACTAGTAACTTCTTAGTTCCCATCTTCACAATATATATATAAATATATTTAATAATTTGAAGAAAAAGGGAACATCACAAATACCAATCTAGGTTATAAACTAAATGCTATATCTGTGTTTTCTATTTAGGATTACTTTCACAATCACCAGATATTCGTTCTGTTGAATAAAAGAGATGTATCAATTTGGCATGTCCTTAGTTGCCCAAAGCATATGTAAATATCAAGTCCAAATACAGAGAAAGGTAGTGATGCAAATAAAATGAACAGACTTTCTTTTTTCCTGTTATAATACATTTCAGATTTTCAAGCAAATCTTAAAAGTAAATATTATATTCTCTTTTGTATGCTTATCCTGGAAAATGGCCTAAATATATAGAGAAAACAGTGGAGGAGGAGGAAAGGTCGTGGGGCGCTGCAGAATTTGGAGCCTTTGATCAAATTCCATCTTTTGGAAGGGAAAGAATTAGCTTTAATAGTCAATTCAACGCACCAAACACTTACTGAGTACCAAATATAAGCCAAGCACTGCTTGTGGTTTAGAAAAGAGATGCATCTGTTGTAACCACTACCCCCCATCTCAAGGAGCTCCTAGTCTGTGCTGGAAATATGCTCTCTGGAATCCATGTTCTCCATCTTCTTTTGGTAACTAAGCTTTCAGAGTTAGCAGGTGCCCTTCACCCAGCTTGAGACTACAATGAGCTGTGGCTGTGGATGAAGACTGGACCAAGGAGACAACAGAAAAGAAAAAAATGCACTCAATGTTTAGGTCATCTTCAGAAAGACAAAGCGACTTGCCCTAGGTTTCCCTTTCCCACTGGCTGGATATGCAGGTCTTAAACCCAATCCTGGACATGTCACATTCAGGGGAATGACAGAGCCACCCGCTCCAGCATGGATCTCTGGATGACCTCCTGGACCACGACCCACCTACTCTGGACTGTGACGTGAGGCAGAAATCAACAACTTTAGCTTGCATTCATTTGCTCAGGAAATTGCTCATTCTATTTCCTGAGAAAATGAATATCCCATGATTTTAGTGTTATCATCCTAGTCGGGAAACCATTTTGCATCTGCTTTTGTCTTAAATCCAGGACCATCTCCAAAGCAGAGAGCCAGCAGTACACACGCTAAATAAAAATGTAAAATAGAGTCCAACAACCACCTACCAACTATCTAAAGAACAAAATAATGTACCATTATCATCTATGACTATACCATATAACACCTTACCTGCTGTATATCACAGAAATCACAGCAGCTCATACCTCAAAATAATCTACTATGCCCTTGTCACGTATTTCCTAGGTATATTAATTTTCCAGCACTAAAGGCATAATATAATAAATGTAAATCATTGCCGTTTTGGCCAATTTTAATAAAATAAAACTGTCAAGGCTACTGACAGATAAAGTAATAAAACTTTGAAATGAACAGTTTTTTAATGCTGGAATCTCACTAGAATCAATATCTAATTCCACATTTCTCAAAGGACATAAGCTCTTATTATTCCTACAAATAAACCAGTATGGATGGCCTAGATCAGCAAATTCTATTTCAAAACTTGTTTCCTCTTCCCTACCCATATACCAGTGTAAGCAAGCAATAACCTGATTTGTAATGGGAAACTATTATAAACATCTAAATACAATATGTCTGGCTGGGCGCAGTGGCTCACACCTGTAATCCCAGCACTTTGGGAGGCCCAGGCGGGCGGATCACTTGAGGTAAGGAGTTCAGAACCAGCCTGAACAACATGGTGAAACCCTGTCTCTACTAAAAATACAAAAATTAACCAGGCGTGGTGGTGCTTGCCTGTAATCCCAGCTACTTGGGAGACTGAGGCACAAGAATTTCTTGAACCTACGAGGCAGAAGTTGCAGTGAGCCGAGATCGCACCACTGTGCTCCAGCCTGGGTGACACAGAGAGACTCTGTCTCAAAAAAATAAATACAAGACAAGACAAGACAATAAAATACGACTAACTTCAACTCATTATTTTAGTAAGTTTATAGTGTGCCCCTTCACTCTTAAACCCAAATGCCAAAACATTTATTTTAAACTAGATTTTCAAGATATTTACACTGCATTGGTTCTTCTTTTTCTTATACTTATTCCTTGCTTTCTAGGATGGTGCTTGCCATTTAAAATCACAGCCTTCCCTTTCCAACTAACTAAAGACTACTGTTTTCCAAAGTTCCCGTCTCTTCTGATAGGTTCACTTTGCACCAAACTATCTGCCAATTATTTGGGTTACTGGAAGCAAATATCATCACTTGAAATCCCAAATAGAAAGTGATACAAAATGTATTTATGCTTAGTTTTTACTGAAACTGTCCTTTCTTTATACTAAATTTACCTTACAATTGTGTTTTGCTCAGGCTTTAAAGGTTTGGATTCCTAGAAACTCTAAATCCTAAAAGTTGGGGTAAGGACATTCATAAGTATGCTAGGCAGATGGCAAGAGGAGTCCTTAATTTTTTTTAAAGAAATGTAAATCATACTTCAATATGCCTCTCTCAGGAATATATTTATTAAATGAACACCAAAAGAAAAAGTAATGAGCTTCAAAGGATGCCTGTGCAGGTGTGAATGAAATCATCTTCACAATCTCCAATCTAATTCACCTATAAAAAGACGGCCATTGTCATGCATTTTGGGCTTTGATCCTTTTCAGTTCTAATTTTTTATTCCACAGAAGTAAGAAAAAAAAGTCAGTTAATCCTCATCTTTTCCACTTTTAGAAGTGGCAGCTCTAAAATCTCCATCTCCTAACTAAATGACTGCTAAATTAGTTTCTGTATTCAAATTTACCTACCTCTCTTGCTGACATGAAAATTCAGTGGCATTTTATTAAAAGACACAAACTAAAGATTTAGTGAAGGAAAATGCTTAATATAAATTTCTGTCATTTATGTGTAAGACAGGATTCCTACAGAATAACAAAGCACTTCATAAAAGAAAACCTCTCCATACCATTTACCTGTCTAACGAGGATATAGGACTCAAATGAACAAACTTTTGAACACCAACCTTTTTTTCTTTTATATTCCAAATGTAAATTTATAGAAGTAGGTCCTACTTAGCGTAAGTATTTGTGACTACTGAGTACTATCCACCAGTCTGCTAAAAACCATCAGTTGCTAGCAAGCTAGAAGACAGTAATATTCTTTGGCCCTTCTACTGAATTTTTTCTAATTGCATGAAAAAAAAAATGCCCTAGTATCATCCATCCAAAAAGAAAATTCCCAAAAGAAACCAAACGACCAAATGGTCTCACATTCCACCCTCCTACTCCCTCTAGTAGGGCCCTACCTCTCTACTTTTCTGCGGTGCCAAGCTTCTGGAAGGAATTTTCTTCTCCTGCTGTCACCACATCCTCCCACTCACTCACCCTTCAGTATATTTCTCATAATTCTAGTAACCTTGCTAAGGTGACCATGACCTCCCTACAAGCCAATTAAGCCTAGGTGGCATCCCTTCTCATCTTTCAGTTCTCCAGGTTTGATACCCTCTTGGTTTCCTTCTATCTCTTCTGGCTACTCTTCCTTATTTCCGCCTGTCTCTGCATATCCCATTTCTCATATTCTATTTCTAAACGTCGCAATTCTTTATGAATCCGTCTCACTCTTCAAATCCTCTTTCTTGGAGAGCTCATCCACTTCATTTCAAATATGATGACAATTCCAAATTTTGTGACCTCTCGCTGAGCTTCAGATCCAAAAATACATCTCTTCTTCTCACTTTTTTACCTGGCTATCTCAGGAGCACCTAAACTGAACATTTTTCCATCCAAACCTTTGATCTCTGCACC